ATTAATTATTATTATAATATAATTATAATTTTTTATATTTATTTATAATTTTATTTTAATTATTTTCTATTTGTTTAATATAAAAAGTTATTTTAATTATTGTTTTCGTTTAATTTTATATAATTCAGTTTATTATATTTTAATTTATTATAAGTTTATATTTTAATAATTTGATTTAAAAATATTTACATTATCTTCTAAATTTAATTTTATTTATCCATATGTAATGTGATATATATTAAACTTTACTACAACTAGCACTCAACCTTCAGTGGTGTGGTGGTTGCATTACTTGTCTTACCTTCATGAGGTCTCAAGGTTGAATCCCAGAGACATCAATTTTTTTATTTAATTTCTCGCGATATATTCACTATATTGCGATAAATTCAATTTACCATAAATATATATATATATATAATATTCAGAGGGTATAACGGGGCTTTTGATAAAAAAACTAACACCGTTAATGGGAAAATAAAAAAAATGGAAGTGTGTGCAACATGTACTTAAACATAAAGGGGTTTGGTGCAGTTTTTAAAATACAGGGTAGTAACGCGCACATTTCGTATAACACAGAGGTTTTGTGCAATTTATCATTTAATTATATTGGTAATATTGATGATAGCGGGGTTGAATTAAAGTTGAATCAAAAAAGTGGTTGAATTAAAAATGATTGGATTTTGTAGGTTGAACTAGTGCGTATCCCGTGCGATGCACGGGTAAATAATATTAAATAAGAATTATAAATAGGTATCGAGTTCGAGTCACTCAATGAAAGAAGTGGGGAACCACTATTGATCTTCTCTTAAAAGTGCAAGAAAAAATATTATAAATTGAAATAATTATAAATTAACGATGTGAGGTTAACATGTCATATAATTTACGACATATCAGTTTATTATAAACGATATAAAATTAGCTTGTTCAAAAAAACATAAAATTTGTATATTTAAGCAATTAAAAACTCTTAAAATATCATATTAACATATGTAAAATTATCTAAAATTTTCTAAAAGAGCAATAGGCCGGACCAACCTACAAAAACGATATTATTATTAGAATATGTGAAGCCACCTACATCTTTTCTAAACTATTTTGTAAAGAAATATCTAAAAACATTAAAGTTTACATTTGTATGAAAGATGTTTTCTGAATATGACATGAATAAAATAATATAAGCCTAAGTAAATACATTATAAAGTTTTTGAAAGAAAATTACCTAGTATATATAAAACAAATACTGACATGATGCTGAAATTTATGACGATACTACCGTACCTAAAAATTTGAGTATAGAAAATCTTAAAATTATTACTATTATTCTTTTGAGTAACTTGAGTACAAAAATTTTCAAAAATATTATTATTATTATTCTTTTAAGTAATTTGAGTACAGAAGTTTTAAAATTATTATTATTTTTTAGTTATTGTACAAATTATTTTTTATTATTATTTTATATAATTTGAGTACAAAAGATTTCAAAATTGTTATCATTTGTTAGTTACTCTGAAAATAAATTTTGTAGGCATAAAATTTCACGATTTATGTAGATTTATCAATTTTACAAATAAAATGAGATTTATTTTATATTGAATGGAGACTAAGACAATTTTGAAAAAAAAAATCTGTCTATTTTCAAAATTATCATTTTGAAGCAATACATTTGTAATTTGACTTAATTATTGTAGTATTTAATTTAAAACTTATGGAAAAAAGAAATGAATTTCAATTGATTTGAAATTCTTAAACCATTTTGAATTTCGTGCAGATTGAAACCAAAAAAATAGAAATTTATTATGATTTTTTAATTTCTAAGAGGTTTGTTAATTTTAAAGCGGTACACAGTTCTTCATCTAAGGATATGGATAGAAGGATTTGATTATATATTTTTGAAATTTAATTTGAACAAAATCTTTTATATTAGGAAGAGATTTTGAATTAAACCCAATTTTATGACAACTAAAATGAGAAGAAATTTTGAATTTCAAATTTTCAATTCAAGTTCTAAGGAAAATTTTTCGGCAATATTTTTGGAATAAAAAACCCAATTGATTTTTTTTAAATCGAATCGAATTTATAGGTAAGTTGTAAATTTTTCTTGTTTATTTAAAAATATATGTGAATCCCCCTCTATATATTAATCCAGAACGCGCTGAGCCTACGTGGCTGCTTCTGGTGCTTCGGAATCCTATGTGGCAAAATTACATGCTTCGTTATTAGGCTTGTGTAAATTTTAATTTAATTCCAAACAAAAAATAATTAGGTTCGGATTACCATAAATATGTGGATTATTTATGGTCATGTTACATGTATTAATTGCATTTTAATATCATTCCTTATTATAACTATTGAATTGTATATATATTTTAAAAGTTAATAACTTTTGTATTTTTTTATCAATTTTACATATGTAATATATCAAATTAATCTTCTTTTGATGAGCTTCGATTTAACATCCATATTGTACATATAAAAAAATAATCTATATTTATCTTTATACCAATAATAATATTATTTTTAATATTAATTAAAAAAATAAAATTATTTATCAACTAATATATTTATATTTCAAGTAGTTATATGATATAAGTTATAAAAACTAATATAATATAACACTTGTAAGTCATAAGTAACACATATCATTCTAAAATATATAGTAATATATTTTTTTTTTGTAAAAAAGTAAATTAAATTTAATATAGTTTTTTCATTAATTTTAAAATTTAAGAATAATTTATTAACAAGAACCCGTGTAATACACGGGTGTTGTACTAGTAATAAGTATAATTATAAATCTTATATTGTTTCATTAATTTGATGATTTTGTTTTTATATAAAATATTCAAATCAAAAAATTGAAGTGGTTGAGTAATTTTTTAAACTATGAATAATTGGCTATTTCATTTACGGCGTCAAAATTAATGTTGACTCGTAAGTTATGAATAATTAATTACTTATTTGACTTATGAATTTCGAACTCAATTTGGACTACACACTAAATTACCTTATATATTTGATATATGAATATATTATATATATAATCTCGTAATTTTCTAGAATTGTTGTCGGTTACCTTAGCGTTCAAATTTATCAATTAATTTTCTTGAATTAAATTACAAATTTTAATTTTATTAACCAATATTTCTTCAAATCTTATGGCAGCATATCAATAAAAATAAAATTAAATTAGATAGAAATAAAATAATTGATTTCACATTAACTTAAATAAAAAATTACGTATGCATATAAATTATTCGCACTAAATATTTACTAATATTTACTAAATTATTGCTACTGATTTTTTTGGAAATCAAATAGTCCATCTCGGTTTTTTTTATGTACCAAAAATAATTGAAAGAATCCATATAAATAAGGATTCTTTCCAAAAATTAAAAAGGTGTTGTATTGAGATAATTATAGACAAAAAAATTTGAAAAATATTTCTTATTTTTTTCTAACAAAATTAATTGGAAGAGTCCATATAAATGGGGATTGTTTCCAAACAAATTGGCATTTAGTTAAAACTTTTTAAATTATGTTATTTTTAGTATGTAATTAATGATTTTGGCCGGAAATTGTTTCTAAATTTGTAAAAAGTTATTTTTTTATATAATGATAGATTTTGTATCCAAGAGGATATACTATTAAGTTAACCAATTCAATCAAGAGGATATATACTATTAAATTAACTATTTTCCTATTTGATCACACACGACTGTTTGGTATATATAAATAATTAGATAAGTAGCCAATTCAGTTAACTATTTCTTTTTTGCGACA